TACTACTATCTTAGGAAGAAGGTGAAATAATGGAAGTTAATAATGCCAATCAAAGTACACAACTACAGATACTCTTTTAATAATATCATTCAAAGGGTTTCTACAGAATTTGTAAAAGGTAGGGAAACAAGATCATTTGATTGATAGATCAGACGATATCATGCAGTACATGAAAGGATTTAGGATGCATTGCAACACTCCATGGCACCAGGTTGATCATGTCCTTTTTCCAATTAATTTGGCAGAAAGTTGGCATTGGATATTGGGGTGTGTGTCATTCCACAAGAGATGTTTTTACGTATATGACTCGCTACATAGTCGAAAGCACAAAAAAGCTATTCAAAAGGTGGCAGAGGCTTATGCTTTGTTGATTCCCCTATTTCTAGTTAGTATTGAATTTTATAACCAAAGAAGTGACATTGTAGTAGAAAATGGTCTGCACATGTGAAAGAATTTGACTGATCCTTTTGAGATTGAACTGATTACAAATCTGCCAACACCGCAAAATTCGTAAGAATAGTTACTTTATTTATTACTTTGTTTTCCTCATTTATATTCCGTGTATTTTTCCTTTTTAGGGAAAGGGCCAAATGAGAGGAACAATCAAGTGCTCGAGACTTCATCCTTCAACGCTCAAACACTTGGGGGACTATATAGTATACACGAGCACATGTATAAAGAAGGCAAAGANCTACAGCATCATGTCTTGAGGATCTTATTGAGTCATATATGTATATGCACCCAGTATGCAAAGATAGAACACCCAACACCCAATGCCATGCCTCTTTTACATTGATTGGCATAAGAACATAATCCACGGAAACCCAGGGGGTGTTACCAAGAATGTAAAACCCAAGAACATACTCTCTTAACTTCTTTGTCAAATCAAAAATCTCATTTTGTACCTTTATGTCATGCATATTCGATTTACTGTACACTTCTTGAATGATAGTACTGCAATAATTGTCTGTAGTTGTCATCCTTATGTTTTCATATTTTGCTTTCTTCCGGAGGTAATAGAATATAACATCAATATGCTTCAAAAAGAAAATAGATATCAATCGAATATACAGAAACATATTTATTCTAAAACAAAACAAAAAAAGTAATGTATGTTCACATACCGTTTCATTGATTCCTACACCAGTATAATGAAGTTCAAAAAACCATGTCTTATTAGCTATAAATTCAACTCCAAGATCAAACTCTTCCTCCAGTATATCATCCTTCTCTTCATACCCCTTCTTCCTAAAAAGTTTAATAAATATATAAATAGAATAGTCCAAACTATCATTCCAAAGAAAGTTCAATCAAAACATATGTTAAATATATGTAAATTTACCTCTTAGTTAGGATCAAGTTTGTCTCAACAAACTTACTGAATTCATCTCTAATTGATAGAGAAATTTCTTCAGTAATTGATATTTTAAAAGGGTTATCACCTTTCACAAATACACGAGGTACAAGAGTGTTTTTCATTTTTGTTGCATCTTCTCCAGGAGAGTTGTCCAAAATCTCATAAGCTTCGAAACCTTCAAAACTTGAATGATTGGGCAAGGAAGAAGTGGTAGCATCTTCATGTGTAGAACCTTTTGAAATAGTTGTTTTTATAGGAAGAACACCTATGGACTCATTAACAAACTCAGAAGTTATTTTATGAATCTGACAATCAATTTGAGTGTCAGTCATCTCAATTTCATGATCTGGAATCATCATAGATGATGATTTTTTATCAACATCTGAAGCTGGAATATCTTCATTTCTTGTTTGCTTACAAAGCTCAGCTGTTAATTTATGAGTCTCTAAATCACACATTTCCAACTATTTTTCATCATCTGGATTTCCAACATCAACAAAACCAAATGCTACATAACAAATACATTAATATGTCAGAAAAAATATAAATAAATTTTTTTCAATATATAGCATTACGTTTCAATACCAGAAATCCCTTCCTTTATCATTGCTAAATTAAAATCTTCTAATTTTTCATGTTTTTTGATANGGCACTATGGGAGGAACAAGCAATTGCATGGCGAATCAAGTGAATCTGAGGCTCCAGTAGCACCTAAAAAGACTCGTGGAAAGAAACGCAAGAAGTAGTATAGGTCTCTTTTTGGTTTTAGTTAATCGTATCATGAAAACTTTGCAGGATTTTAATAGTTTGGTGAAGTATGGTATTGTTAGTAGTAAATGACCTTCTGCTGATTCAAGACTGTAGGATACTTGTGCCTTTATAAAATATTTTCAGTTGCTAATGTTTCTTTTGTCATATTTAATTATTCTGGTTCAGAATATGTGGTATAGATTTCTTCAAGTACATGGGGGTTATCAGTTTAGTTATGTCTCCTGATGCTGAAAATTTGCTGATTTTGTTTCTGATTTCAGCTTGTTTTATTAGGCTTTTCTTAGGCTTCTTCCATAAAGTTGTTGGTTTATTAGGATATCAAGGTCCATTCCTTTTCCAGAGGGTAAGTTTTGATGGATTCTGCAAGTGAAAATTAGGGGCAGATGAAGCGAAGTTAAATGATCTGCTTACGAATGTGATGATGGTCTAAGATTTAATGTTCATCTGTAGTTTTAGCATAGATGGTGTATTAGTGCAGTAGAACTATATACCAATCAGGTATACTGATATACCATTTGGGTATCACATTGTATTTGACTCGCCTTTTTTCCTGCAGCAACTAGATGTAAGTAGTGACATGAGTTGCAAAGTGTGCGCATTTTGGTTATCACGTTGTATCTGGTGCACCATTTGTATTTTTGTGCATATTTTGTTTTAGCCATATTAGTGCAATACCACTATATACCGGCGAGGTATACAAATATAACATTTGGGTATCACCTTGTATTAATGTACCTGATGATGTACAATAACTGCATGTAAATGGCTTCCAATTTGTTATACTTCAATACAGACATGAGTTGCAAAGCGTGCCCATTTTGTTAACAAAGTATGTATAAATGTTGCATTTGCAGCACCACTTCTATTTCTACATATTTTACTAATAAGATATACAGATATACCAATAAGGTATACAGATATACCACTTGGGTATCACATATATATTTTAGCATCTTTATTCCTGCAGCAACTAGATGTAAATGCATCCCACTTTTATATACTAAAATAGAAAATAAACAGTTTCTTATTGAAAATACAAGTAGCCATATAAATTTGTTGCCAAGAAGTAATTTCGCAAAGAATCATCATACCAAATATATGTCTAATGCAAGAAATGCATTTTATTTCTTTGCAATTCAAATGCTATGATTCTACGATATATGAGTTCTATAAAAACATTGAATCGTTATATCAATCTCTCTTTGGAATATTTCGTCATGTTCTCCGGTTGTGTCCTTTTCTCCCGCATAGTGCACATGTAACTGTATTTCCTTCCCAGCCTCCTATGCCTCTCTTCTTTTTAGGTCTTCCTGGTTTGATTTGTCCTTTTGGTGGCAGTACCACCTGCGAAGAGATATGTTCTGGAATTTGCCACGTTGTTTCATCAGGCAATGGATTTACTGGTATCTCATATGTTTTCAGCAAGTAGTCTATGCAGTAGTAATCCGAGCAATACTTGTATGAATCCATATGGAATTTTTGTATAATTGCCATTGCATGTGGACATGGAATATCGTCTAGCTGAAACCTCCCACAAGTGCAGTTTCTTTCATGTAGGCGCACCACATTTCTTGTTTGGCCATCAATTACTAAATGTAAGAATTCAGTTGATGGCAACACCTAGTATAATTTTAATTAAGAAAAGTCATTAGCTATATGAAGTAATAGTATTTTTTAAATAACAATATTCAGTTGTTTAGGGAAATCACTAAGGTAAAAAATTAAAAATACAGTACATGTAGTGTTTTTATGATTTTGAAAATGCATACCGTCATCATCTGTGATAAGATAGTATTATCTAACAATATTTTTTCATACTTTGCACCAATCTTCATAAATGATTCCACTGCATCCTTCCGATTGGTGTAATTCCATTTTTGAATCAATGTTGTCATAAAGTCAAGCAAATTCACAACTAGGAGGTCTCTTGCGTGCTTGTTTGCTGCATTTACTGATTCCGGAATATTCGATGTCATGGTCATGGTTCTATTTGCCTTGGAATGCGCCCGGGACCATTTATCATATCCAATATCCATCAGGTATGTTTTCATTCTACTATCAATAGCTTCTAACTCTGCCATATGCCTGTTGAATTCTTCAATAGTGTATGCTCTTACTAACGCAAAATATACTTCTTTGATTTGTTTTTGGCTCTTCCTGAGGGACTTCTGGATAGACAATTGAAGTTGCTTTCCATATAGCATCATGCCTGTCTGATACAATGCACATTCCCTCTCTTTGTCCATAGGTTTCTCTGAACTGCACGAAGAACCATTCCCACGATGCATCATTTTCCGAATCAACAATTGCATATGCGAGGGGTAGAATTTGTCCTGTAAATCCAAAGAACAAACTATCAATTACAACACACTATATTAATTTAGCATTTCATATAGTAGTATAGTCATAGGTAGGTTCAGGTGTGTAGCAAAACAACTATATACTCTGTTGGTATACTTGTATACCATACTGGTATCATATAATATTTGAAAATATTTTTTGTTTCTTTAACTGAATGTAATTGGATTGTACACAAAATATTAATTTAGTATTTCATATAGTAGTACAGTCATAGGTAGGTGCAGGTGTGTGGCAAAACAACTATATACTCTGTTGGTATACTTGTATACCATACCGGTATCATATATTATTTGAAAATATTTTTTGTTTCTTTAACTGAATGTAATTGGATTATATTCTTACCCTCTGCGTCTTGCGTAGAAGCCGTGAGTATGGTCCCTCTATATGTTGACTTTAAAAAACTTCCATCAACTACAACTGTTGGCCTACAATAGACACATCCTCTAATCGATGCATATATAGCTATGAATCCATACAAGAAGCTCCCATCTCCTTCAGTGTGTAGTCTTGTCACTGATCCTGGGTTAGCGTACTCTAACATATAAAGATATGTTGACATTTTCTTGTATGACTCACTTGGTGATCGTCTCAATAATTGCATTGCTTTTTCTTTTGATCTCCATGCTTGCATGTAGCTTAAGTCCATACCATATGCTTTTTGGATGTCTCTTTGGATATCCGTTGGTGTATATATGATTTTCGGGTCAACAAGTTTATCTTGTACCACAACTGCAACAAAAGTTGAGACAGCTTGCTTTTGTGAACAAAATCTCTTATCAGTTAAACAACCGTGGACAGAATTGAAATCCGTCACTTTGAAAAGATTTGATGCTCGCAGGCTTGATACTTTAAGTCTCCAAGAGCATCTTTCATCCACGCATTCAAGGATATACCTGTTTATAGTACAAATACAGTTATGTATCATGTTCTATTGATAAAAAACACACACAAAAATCCATACAATTATATACTCACATGGTATACTATGTTGGTATACTTATATACTGTATCAGTATCATATATTTGCTGATAAAAAATATAGACAAAGCAGCACAATTCTATACTCACATAGTATATTGATTTAGCATACATATATACTATATTGGTATTATGTTTTACTGATAATAACAAAGACAAACCAATACAGTTATATACTCGCATAGTATACTGATATAGCATACTTATATACTATACCAGTATCACTGATAAAAAACACAGACAAACCAATACAATCCATACTCGCATAGTATACTGATTTAGCATACTTATATACTATATAGGTATCACATAGTTTTTTAGTTGAAACATGCAGACGAACCTTCTTTGGCATGATTTATGAACCCGATATTGACATTTTTGTCTAACTGCATAATGTTTCATAACGAGAGCCAGCAGGTTCTTGTCTTCATAAATTTGTCCTTTTTCAACATTTTGATGAAATTGATCAGTTATGATGTTTGCATCATCAAGTTCTAAAATAGCGTCATCTCCTTCTTGCACATCAAACGTAGTAATCATATCAGTGCTTTCAAATTCTGCAATTTCTGATGAAATTGGAGCAACATCGAAACTGGAGGTGCTTGCAGCTATAGTGTTTTTAGCAAACGACACACACAGGGGAAGTGTTGTCATCCCTGCACTTGATTTTTTCAATTCCATGTAAACACTAACACTCATATCGCTGCAAATTGTAATTGGTGGATATCCTTGAGCAATAGCATACTGAATAACTATTGTTTTACTGTCCTTTTGCAGTTGCTTTGCAATTTCTCTAAGAAGTTGTTCAAATTTCCAATAGGTCTTTATTAGAATTGCATTAACATGAAAATTTATGAAATTATTGTTATCATCCCATTCTCCACTATGCTGCAGCAGAATTGGAATATTTTCCATGATTCTGAAGTTATAATCACTTTTTTTGTCCAAAATTGAATCTCAACAATGCAAATTTCAACAGTGTTCGAAATCAATAGTGTTCGAAATCAACAGTGTTCGAAATTTCAACAGTATATAGCTGCAACAGATTTTTCGAAATCAAACCTCTAGATCTCCAGATCTCCAAACCTAGATTAGAATTTTCAGCTAAAATTTAGAAGTTTAGCTCCGAAATCAAAATCAAAACAACAGCGAAATCAAAATCTGAAGACAACAACGAAATCAAAATCTGAAAAGAAGATGCGAATCAGCATCTTCGATCTTTTTTTTTTCACACTTAGTGATCTTCAAATTAGGGAATGTCGGTGGAAATCTCAATTTTGTGCGCTGATTTTCTGAAATTTAGAGCAGCTTTTGCATTTTTATACGTATGGCATTAAGCGTGGGTAGTTATTTTAATATTCCCGTTTATTTATTAAATAGGTAGGAGATTGTAATAATTTAGTGGGTAGAATTATTTAATGGGTAGGGCAGGGTAAATAGTTTCACTTTTATAGGTACTCCTGTCTTTTCCCCTTTAAAAATCTGCACTATTTGCAAATATTAAAACCTACATATCTCCTTCGTTATAAGGTCAAATTGAGTGATTCAAAAGCCTAACTTTACTAGAATTTCACAAGGAATCCATTGGAGGCATAAAATACGAGTTTCGGGATCGTTTGGCACGAGAAACGAGGCAGAATAGCTGGTAAAAAAATATACAAAATTAGGGTTTGTTCATTCGGTCATATTTTGAGTTGAGGAGCTCGGATTTGGGAGATTTTGGAGGCGATTTTCACCATATGGATTGGGGTATGTGTTCTCTACTCGATTTTGATTATAATTTATGAATCCACATTCCTTTTTGGGATTTGATTGATGATTTCAAAGTGAAATTGACGGAGTTAGGGTTTGAGTTTTGGAGAGTTTTAAGTGACGATTTGAGGGACCAAACAGAGTTCGATTTTGACAAATTTTATATGGTTAGACTAGGGAGAGGACGAGGATTATTATTCTGTCTTTTTTGACTGATTCCGAGACGTGGGCCTGGTGGCCGAGTTTTGGCTGATTTCGGATTTTTGGCATGTTTATGTAGTTTTTGTTGTGTAAGGGAAATTTTTCATAAACCACTATCTTTTAGTAGTAATTAGCCATCTATAGATACCATTTGCTATATTACGGATTATAGATACCTTTTATGTGGTTATAAATGTATTTGATGTATTTAAGCTATTGTATTCATGAATACAGTAGCAAAAATACGCGTGAATCAGGGAAGTCCAGCTAATCAGTTGTTGTATTCGAATGTATCCGACTGTATTCATGGAGTGAAACATGGGATTACAGCTTGACAGATTATTGTATTCGACTGTATTCGACTGTATTCACGGCGTAAAATAGGGAATTACACTATTTTTAAAACAGAAAGTGAATCAGTTACCATAATAGACTCCTAATATAACTCAACAAACTCAATTATAACACACAAATTTTATATTTTCAGTTAAAAAAAAGATTCTCAACCGAAAAATACCCCAAAAATATAGCAATCTTCAGAGAAATTATATAATACATCTGCATACATAAATTATATTAATTAAAAAAAACTTATGAATACATTCAGGGCATATAGCGAGACACTTAATACAATGAAATATATAGAATACAGCAGGATACATTGAAATACAATGAGAAAAAAAATAGTGAATACAATGAAATACATGGAATTTAACAAGACACATTGAATTACAATGAAAAAAAGACAATGAAATACATTAAAATATGTTAACAAAAAATCAAGTCGCTCAGCACCAAACTCCATCGTCTTTGTTCAAGAATAAACCAACCGGATTATATGTGGGCGGCTGCTATTCAAGAATCAGTGCATCTATTGTAATGGGATGGGGGCGTTGCACAAGAATCAGTTTAATATCGAAACCCAAGCCCACTGCTACGCCGTCATCTCCCCACTGCTACGCCGTCATCAATGCATGAAGTCAGACATCTCTAAATTTTTTCTACTAATATTTGCTCTAGAAAAAGCTGCTTACCCTATGTTAAACCTAAATCTAAATTTTGTTGTTGGTTATAGTGGAGTCTGCCTTTGCTGTCTATTTGAAAGAGTGAAAAGCCAAAATGGATCTCTATAGATGGACCAGCAAGATTTTTAGACCTAGATGCTCCTAAAGCACAGGGCTATGCAAACAACATAGATGACTAAAAGGGAAAGAACAATTTAAAAAGGTGAAATACAAGATTTCGTGAAGCACAAATTACCAAAGAGCTGAAGAATTTCGGTGGAAGGAGGAGGAGATCGGAAATTTTAATGGGATGGGGGAAGAGAATGGGATATATCAAAGTAGAGAGAAAAAAAAAAGTGTAACTGATTAGCATATTCAGTGGCTTAAGGATAGGAGGTAACCAAAATTAAATATTTTGCTATAAACCTTAAAAGGTATCTATAGAATATAATTTTTTAAAATGGTATTTATTTAAAATAAATAAGGTGTTAACCTTTGCTATAAGAGGTAAAAATTCTAATTTATTATAAGAAAATGAGTCAGCTAGAATATTTATTAACTTGGCTTATGATGTTCAACTTATGTGGCGCAAATTTATTATTTTGAACTCTTATAACCAAATGGTTAACTGAAGCTAGCAAATAATAGTTCATTTTACTTTGTAACAACTTATATGCAAAATCTCCTTTGAATTTTAATACGCTAAATCATGATAATAGAGAGACCCCCATATGTAGTCTCACACTCAAATTTAGAACAAATGGTCATAATAAATTACATGTGAAAATAACCTCTTTTATTGCAAAAACGAAGAACCTATATTAACCATATTCTTTCAACCTTAACTGAAACTCCATTTGTAAATGTCTAAACAAGACTACAACTGTAAATGAGACCACTTAGCTTTAAAATGAAATCATAAGTATGACTAAACAATGGTCATTGGATAAAAAAAAGTTTAGTTGGGCAACAGAAAGAGGGACAAACATGAATCTGCATGGTTCAAAATATAATACATACTCCTTTCACACAAACACACAACTGAGGGATACTCCTTTCACACAACCACACAACTGAGGGCCAAGCAGAATTATATCCTAAACTTTGGCATAAGACTAAAGATGCTTGACATAGTTTAATTAACTAACACACAATTATAACATTATCCAACTTTCAAAAGTATGTAAGAATGAAGCTGCTAATATTTCCAGGCACCATTTCTTTCATTCCAACTTAATTTTAGGAGTTTACATGGCCCGAAAGTTACCTGGACAGCAGAAAGAAGAACAAATACAACAAAGTAAGCTCTTTCCAAAATCAAATGGTGGACAGCAGAACGGCAAAATAGCGAAGTAGCAAAACCAACAACAAACGGTAGATTTCGAACCCAAGAGGATCGACCAAAAATACCTAGCAGTACAACACTTGAAACTAGTAGCTATTTTCCCCAGAAATTTACTAGAATCCCTCTATTTCTTACAAGTTTTGCACTCTAAGAAACGCTCACCAATCTCAGAATTTTTAGCTTACTAAAGTATTCAGCTGCTAATTTTTTGTTCAAAGATGTGTGTTCAAGCAACTCTAAAGATGTGTGTAAGTGTCAAAATGTGTGATAGAGTACGTATGTAAAATGAAGAAAGGGCAGCCCTTACTTAGGCAAAGAAAGCCACTTTTTGGATAGATTTTGGTTCACCAAAAATCTGTCCAAAAAGGGACTGACTTTCTGTGCTAAACACTGTTCAAAGGCTGTCCAAAAGGTGAAAGGACAACATGAAATCTGTTGTAACAGAAGCAAATAGTCACTTCAGCCACCCTACTAGTAAAAAGTAAGCTACTAGTACTCCAACTCATGATCAAACCCATCTAATTTTTAGATTTTAACAACATCAATACCACCTTGTTGATTTTGAACCAAAACAAACTCAAACAACTAGCAATTGACAAAACAAAAACAAGACTTCAAATGGAACTAATACTCAAACTAACTAGACTAAGACAAATTGATTTGTGCAAACTAAACTTAGAACAAATAACTGAATTAACAAACTAATGTTCAAAACAGAACGAGCATCGCTAACAATCGACGATGATGTTTTACAACTAAACAATCAATTAACTAAGTAAACAATTTAACTAATACACTAAAGATTACGTTTGATCAATAATAGTCTAACAAACGACTAAAATGAATAGAGATAACTAATTAAATAAACCTAACTTATAACTCTAATTAACAACAAACAACCAAAATAGAAAAATATAAAAATTAGAAACTAACCTACTAATAAACCAAATCATGAATTAACTAAAGAGATGAGGATTATACCTAACGAGCGTGCTTGAAACTATTCGAGCCACGAGAAAGACGGCGGAGATGGCAAGAGGCGATTGTCCGAACCCGAAACACAAGTTCCCTTTTAGCAAACGCCCAAAACAAGTAAATTTTGGCATCATACTTGTTACGCCCTGCAATATTACGTCGATATTACGTCCAACAGTATTATATTACGATGATGTTATGCTTCGGAGTATTAAATTACGATGATGTTGCACCCTGTAGTATTGTACGTTGAATTTGTCGTAAGGTAATTGACATCAGTCCAAGGAAAAGATTATTTGGAGATTATAAAGATTATGCTATTTCAAGCAAGTGATGAGTAATTTCGTGAAGGTGAGAGGGGAAGCAAGTCAAGAAAAATAAATTTTTGTCCAGGTTTGGCATGTTGGGATAAAATACAGATCGAGCAATAATACCCGTGTAACAACCCGGCCGGTCATTTAAGAATTAACGGCCCGATCCCCTATTAACCGCTTTCCTCGTGTTTGTTTCTGCTATTGTGAGTTGCCGGGAGGAATTATTTGGAGTTTCGGAGAGTTTTGGGACACTTAGTCCCTAAATGAGAGCTTAAGTTTTGAAAATTTGACTGTAGCCAGAACAGTGTAAAGATGGCCTTGTAA